TGATTCATATCTTTTCATGTACCATTTATTTTTCTCTTATACAAAATTTTCTTGCATCAATAAAGTTTTTCATAATACTTTATGTGCTTGAGCTCATTATTTATTTCAATATAAATGTCCTAGATGGACAAAATGCGCGCCTTTGAGTTTCACAATGTGGAAGGAGTATTGAGCACTACTTGTCCACTTTATTTTCAAACTCAATATAAACAAATTCAATTTGGTACATGAATATTCATTCGAAAAGAATTTTCAACTCTTTAAGATATTATATCGGTACAACAACAAAATTGAGAACTAATAGTCTCAAATGTCTCTCTATTCACTTAGAGAGCAAGCTAACCATGATTTATTTGCCAATCAACTCTTTATTGGCACATAATGGTTCGATTTAAATGATCTCGATAGCTACCGTGTAATCACCAATGATTTTCTCATCCAAATATGGATTTAATTTATGCCACCATAATTGGCAAAAATTTATCAAATCAGAGTAATGGATATTAGTTGAGGCGTCCCCCAACATCGTCTTTAAGACGAATCCTTTCATCGAATGAGATAAGTAATAGGATGATAATACGATGCTACTAGCGCTAGTAGACTTTAACTAAACGGTGTTCACCCCACTTATAAGGGTGTTAATCATTCGAACCAACATATATATCTCCCTCTCTTATATGTATAAAGTATAATTGGTTAGCTGTGTACCATAATCATTTTTCACCCAATTAGGGATTCACGATGCAATCATAATGTGAAATTTGTCCTTCAAGGATATTCATTTTCATGGCAAAATCTAATGTAAAATGTGTCCTTCCTGGACATTTTCTCTTGCACTCATTTGCAACATATGTAATACTTTCACGTTGCCATTTTATCGATAAATGCATCTAGCATTTTACATCTTAAAATTGTTGCAATTGAATTCTTTTTTCTTTTGTGCTTAAATATTTCCATGCACAAATCTAGATGAGACAAAGATCATTTCATATAATTCACGCCGTTATACAAGAACCGGCTTCTTATCTCCCCCTTAACGGCGGGAAAATTGTCTCATTAAAATGGCAAATGACAATGTATGCCATAGAAATATCTCCCATAAGGGGTGCAAAATATTGCATATCATAAATTATAAATAAACCATGTGATATAGCTGTTATCTAGATGAGAGTAACTACGTTTGAGAATCTAATAGGTTCGGTACACAAATGACCAAATTTCAAAATATTGAAAATTCAGGGACCAAACTGTAAATTTTGAAAATTTAGGGACCAAATTGTAAATTTTGAAAACTTCAGGGACAAGACTGCAATTTTAAAAACTTGGGTGAAAACTGAAAATGCTGAAATGTATTCATAATTGCAGATGATGAGAGGAACGTGCTGCATATTCTAAAAAATATTTGGACTGGATCGTAATATTTTCAAATTCGGAGGACAAAAATGAAAATTTTGAAAATTTTCGAGGAGTAAACTGTAAATTTTGAAAAATCAGAA